GGCTGGGGAGAGGGAGGTCTGGGCCTCCCTTCTGAAGCTGCTGCCCCCGCGACCCGACCCCGGATAGGCGGAAGAAAATGGATGGATGGATGGAAAAAGTCCCGTCTTTACAGTTTTTCTTCCTCCTCTTTTAGTCACTAAATTTTAGTTTTAGAGGAGCGCATAGATGGAAAGTGTTTTGCATGACACTCAAATTTCACAGGCGTGCTTCCTCTTAATAAAGAAGACTGTTTGATATTGTTTTTTATTTGTTTTTAGTTTTAAATGGTAAAAAGAACAGAGGATGTATTTAGGAGTTGGTGTAAGGCCAGGCGTAGAAAGGCTGATTATTATGAATCAAAGAGGAAATGATGAAAGTCATATTCATGCTTATTGTTGTTTTGTCTGCAGGTTGTCGTGCTTGTTCACCTGCCTCGACTTGGTGAAGAGATGCTGTCTGCTCTACAAAGATCTGCCCTCCTTTGTACCCATCTTCCATCCTATCAGAACTCTCCTTTCTAAACATCTTTCACCACAAATGCTACCAAAAGCTTCACAAGTTAGTACCAGATTGCTTTGATAAAACAAATTGTGTCTCATGTTTTTTTTTCCTCTCTCTGTGTGTGTTTGGATCATTGATGGCGTAGCATTTCCAGTTAATTACAGTGTTTTGTTGTTTTGCTGCAGGAGCTTCACAGTGAGATCCTGGAAGCCATCAGCAGAGCTCCTGTGACTCACAGCCGGTTAGTTTTTGACAAGAAGAAGCCCATTCCTCTGAAGCTGCTCACACCCAAGATTGTTGAAGTGTAAGTGTTAAAAGAGGCATTGTTCACCCAGACTAGGCAGATCAACAATACTCGGATAAATAAAAAAAAAAACAAGAAAAACAAACTTCATTTCTGTGGATATTACAGTTGGAATGCTGAGCGCTAAATGATTTTACAGAGGTTAAAACTGAGTTGTTAAAGCTTAAAAGAAGCAGAGCACTGGCTAAACACTGTAATATACAGAGCATCAGCTAAACTCTATAATATCCAGAGCATCAAGTGAAACCTAAACTATGCAGAACAAAGGCTGAACATTTAAAAATATATATAATGAAAAAATCTGAACTTACTAAAGCGTTCCCGCAGATCCTTAAAAAGTCTTAAAAGGCCTTGAATTCATCAATCCAAAAATAAGGCCTTAATTAGCCTTAAAATGTCTTAAATCAATCTTCAGAAGTCTTACCAATGTGAACACATTGTAAGTAGGATGACTAATTTATATCAAATATCAAAATAATCGGTAAAATTTATTTATTTTTGAAATATTCCCATTCAGATGTTCCCCTTTGACATCACTTCCTGTTATTTCACATACAAATATCTAAACAACTGTCCGTCTGAGCAATGTGAAATTTGTTTTCTAAAATGTTAATAAGGTTGATATTACAAAAATGCACTCATATTTCTTACAAACTTCTTACATCACAGGCACTTTAAGATTTCATCTACAGCAAACTGGGGTTAAGAACCCATTGCAGGTCCTAAAACTCCAAATTTTGTGTCGTTAGAGGATTTCCAGGAATTAAATTAAGTTTAAAACTGACTGCTAAGAATTTTTTTTTTTTTTGCTATATTTGACAAAATAGCAGTTAGGTATGGATAAAAACAATTGATCTATTAGCAATATTTGAATAATTCAAACAAAAATACTTTGATTCATGAGTTTCTGCCACAGTTATTTTTAGGTTTTTGTCATTTATGTTTATCGTGAAAGTGGTGTTAAATTTGATTTCACTTGGCATTAAAATGTCTTAAAAAGTCTTAAATTTAACTTGCCTTAAACTTTAGGAACCTGTAACAAAAACTAGATAAATTCTTTAATCAATTTTTGTATTTGTTTTAAAAAAATATTGTTAAATGTTATTTTATTTCTTTTTGACACTTTGTTTGAAGTTTAGCTGCTAAAGATGCTACATGCTACAGACACAGGGCCTGACACGTCCAGCACTGTTTGTATGAGGGGGTAGTTTTTATTTAATTTGGGATAAATAGGAGTTTTACATTTTGTATTGAATTCAAATTTAGTGGAACCTAGTTTAGCTGAAGCTAACCGGTCCGTTAACAGTTTCAGTGTTAGCAAAAAGGCTTATTCGCTAAATGAGAAGCTAGTTCCTCTATTAGCAGATTCACAGAACTGTGTCCATGTTAAAATTAAAACAAGGAGATGCTAATGTGTGTACATCTACTTGAATAACTAATTTGTATTTGTATATCTATATTTTTTATAGCTTGGACTATGGAAAGAAGCGAGGCAGCTCGAAAGATGAGAAAGAACAGGAGCGACTGAAGCACAAATATAAAAAAGAGTTCAAGGGCGCTCTGAGGGAGATCAGGAAGGACTCACGTTTCCTGGCCAGAGAAAAGCTCAACGAAGTCATGAACAGGTGGGGATAAACATTGATCTGCCATGTAGATGTGACCCAAACCACCCTCCCTACACCGTTCACACATTTATAATGCACCTTGTGTTTCAGGGATGTGGAGAGGAAGAGGAAGGTGAAGATGCTCCTGGGCAGCTTGGCCACTCAAGAGGGAGAGTGGAAAGCCCTGAAGAGAAAAAAGAAAAAGTGAAATCCCAATTTATAGCCTTCACTGTTTCTATTTGATCAGTTTTTTGTTTTTTAAATAGACTTGTGTAACTGAACAGTTTAATAACTGCACAAGACAAACATTTCTGAAAATACAGTTTCTTCACTGTTGAACACATTATACAGCTTGATTTGCCAGAATTAAAAAGTTGTCAGAATGTTCTTTATGTGTATGTGTGATGTGACAACTAGATATTCGTTCATTTCTCATCACGTCATTGTGTTTAAAAACAGGACTGATACATGCTCTTTGTGATGTTGCACATTCTGTCAACAGCACCTTGGTATTTTTTTGTTGTTTTTTTTTTAGCCGTGTCCATTATTCAGATACATTTACATTCAACCTCTATAAGAAGAGGAACTTGACCACATCAGAGTCAGCAGCCCTGCGTGAAGCTTATGTAATGTGATCTGAATGGTTGTAAATGAGCATTCCTCAGTAACAGTGAGCAATGAGGTTTATTCTTCCTCTATCACTCTAAAAGCTTTACTTTTATTATGTCAAAGATAAACCGTATTGTTTCATTTTTCAACCTTGAATTATTTTTTAAGCAGTGAGATTGAAATTGAAGTGAACTTCCCAACTCCACTCTGAACACCCACGTACCAAACTTACTTTTTTTTCCATAGATATTTGACTTTTTCCTTGTAGTCTTAGTGATAAGATGAGGACCTCCATCATTCAAGGGGAGCTCAGTACAGCCGCTGCTCCTTCACATGGAAAGGTGTCAGTTGAGGTATTTAATGATGATTAGGAGGTCTGCTGAACCCCTCCCTGTGGAGGTCTTCTGGATGTGTCTTGCTGGGAAGAGGCTCTAGGGAAGACCTAAAACTCACTGCAGTCATCATGTATCCACTCTGGCCTGGGAATGCCTTGGGATCCCTCAGGGAGCTGGAGAAGGGATGTTTGGGTTTCTCTGCTGGACCTCTTTCTGGAACCCAAAGGTGAGCAGGAGAAGATGGAGTGATGTGCTTCTTTGTTCGGTTCCTTTTCTTTCACAATAAGTATTGAACATTTACATAAACACTACTTTAACTTGGGTTTTGAGGTTTTACCTTTTAGAAAAGAGTAGAGAGCACGACTTAAAACAACCTAAAACCGCAATAAAGCTCTGAAAAGGGTTCAGGATCCCAGGCGGATAGTAATTTAATCTATATGTTTGTGTCTGGCAGTAAAGTACAAAGTGATAACTTGAGAGTCAACCCAGTTCAAAGCAACCACACAACAAAAAATGGCTACAACTCAGTTTTACTCATTGATCTAAATTTTGGTATGGTAGCTGAGACTCATCTCCAACTCATTCTAAGTGATTACAAATTGTACATCTTTATATTAAAAATAAAACTACTTGAAATGAACTGCTTGTAGATAACAGTCAGCAAAAAAACAAAATAAAAACCATTGGACAGATTTGAATGAAACTCAAAAAAAAATCAGTGATGTTTACGTCTACAGATTAACATAATACAAGTTGGTGGTTACAACCAAACAATACAAAACAAACAAAAAAGTCTGTAATTCAGTCAGTTTAGCAGATATTGGGTTAAAATAAAGTGAGTTTGTAAATGAAAGCCAGTCACAACACATACTTCAAATAATTGTGAAAGTTTTTTGGTCAAGATGTTGAGTCAACCTTGTCTGTTAGCAAAATATCTCATGACTCAATTGTTTAAATGAAATTTGCAGAAAGTTAATTAACGTACAACTGATTAATTCTGCAAGTCAACCACATTTATTATGAAAACCACAACTATTAAACAGTAGCCAACACAAAGACGGTTAAAACTCAGTCAGTTTTACAAATAATGAGCTTAAAGTTTGATGTGGTAGTAGCTGAGAGTCATTCATAACATTCTGTCAGGGTGACATCGCACCATGTGGCATGAGATCACAAAGGAAGTTATTTTTAAAGGTTAAACCCAAATTAAGGACAATTTATCGCTAATGACAAACCATTTCTCAGCATAAAATAATCCTAGTTTAAACTTGACATTTGAATTCTCAGGTGGACTGATGATACAGCATAAACTTAAAATGATTTTTGAGAACAAGAACTGGGTGCACAAGTTTGAATTTATTGTGTAGTACAGGCTCAAATATATTTCATAGGAATACTGCAAAAGTAATTTAATTCACACATTATTTATTTTTTTTTTCAACATTCGGATCCAAATAAATGTATGACTGAGCACTAAAACTGAATAGTAGTTCAGATACTAACAGTGTCTTTATGAATGCACAAACATCACAGAGAAACAACAAGATACAGAACAAAAATAAAGATTATTATTATTAAGCTTCCATTTCAGACAGATCAGTGGAAATTGGTCAGTTTTAGAGACACTTAGGTGTTTGTAGATAGTGATATATTCCCATGTTTGTGTTACTGATTGAGCCACACATTTAACACAAAACACACACACACTGTGATCAGGTGTCTGTTTCAGTGGGAGGGATTCACTGTAACATGACAGCTGATCACAGATAACACACACATCATTCATTCCCAACATTTACACACGTACTGTAGAAGACGCGGCACAAACTAACACAGACGCAGAGCACAGACTCCATAACAGACCAAAGAAAAGAAGAACGAGGCACGACGGGACTTGGCAGAGCGACACGGAACGTTTCGATCACTGATCTCCGATTGTCGGAGCTCTCGGGACGGTTTATTCGTCGCTGTCCTCCTGAGGAGAGAGACAAGAAGAAGAAAAGAAGAGGAGGTGTGATGCGGCTCCATGCTTGGTTTTATGTAAATGATACCATGTGATGTGTGATCGCCTTGCAGCATACTGATGCTACATCTCAGACTCTGAGGCTGAGGGACCATAGCTCCGCCCACTCGCATCATTTATTCATGAACTCTGGCTGCTGACACCCAGAGCTGAAAGTCACTCTGTGCCCTTAGAAGGTTCATACGTCACAATGTAAACTACCTGCTCACACTTTAATAAAGAAAATCCTCAAATAATGTATAAAAACATACTTTATGTACATCACCCTTTTTATTAACTTTTTCAGCTCTGAATATTTGTTGCTAAGTCAAAAACTCATTAGTTAAATAAATGTATTTTTGGAGCATTTTAAATGCTTTGATTTTCTCAAAGAAGAAGCCACAAAAGTGCATTTATCCTGTCAAATGTTATTTAAAGTAACTAATTGTGGTTCTCATGAAGGAGTGTGTTTGACATTTCTGCAGCTAACAGAGGAACAGGAAATGTGTGTTTGGTGTTTACCTCAGTCTGCTCAGCAGGGTCTGTATCAACTGGTGACTCTGCTGCATCTGGTACTTCTGAGGTGTCATCAGCCTGAAAAAAACAAAACATTTAAACTTCACCCAGTGACCTTGTCCTCGTTACTTCCTGTCTACAAGTTTTTATTGAAGTAATCACAGGAACGCTTTAGTTTGTCCCAAAACTACAGTCCTGATCTTTTGAAGTGGGGTCCTATAAAAAGGTTACGAGCAGTTATTGTCTTACCTGCTATAGATGGCACTTTGTGGGACCAAATCGACGAGCGATTGGCTAGTCTGAGCAAACCCAAGACCAAAATCAAATGCCATTTTTCAAAACACTTCAGTCTTAAACATTAATAAACATTAATAAATAATAAAGCATGAATCCTGCCATAAATTCTTACATTTACGTTGAATTCAGTGGCTGTTGGAAAGTTCTAATAGCAGTGGCAGCTAGCGTTGATGCAGCCTGATATATTAAATCAGAATTGAGAGAACATGACTTCAAAAATGGTCAAATTATCTTTTTAAGACATTTAAGCTGTTTCAAGGCAGCAGCTGTTTACTTTGGTCGTGGCCCTGCTCTTGACTAGCTGTGAGCTCACCAGTGTGTACAGAATTAAGCATGCTTTTTCAAACTGAGGTTGTTCAAAGAATCATCTACAGCAGGTAGAATATTATTTGTTCATAGTCTTTCCACAGATCTAGTGGTGTCCCAATACGAAACACCAGCATTTACACACGAACTGTTCCTGATACCCAGAATCAATACACTTCATTATGACATAATATGTTGTTATAATGAGAAAACAATGGAAAATAGTAATTATCGGAAAATGTTCGCTCTCGGCTTCCGTACGTAACAAAAAGAGGGTGTCTTGTTTTTTTTTTATTTGTCCAGCTCTCTTTTAACTGTGATACCTGCAGAGGTTAAGGCATAACAAGAAGTTTGGCAAATCTGATAGTGGCACAATTACAAGAATAACAGCTAATTTGAATCACTGTCTGGAAAACAAAGATAGTTTGAACGTAAACCAAACCTAGAATTCACCAAACTCCTAATCGGTTTCAGAGAAATCCAGATCACATGTTCCAGTTTTTACCTGGGGGGGGGGGGGGG